AGAATTATAATGATAATATAAATATATATATAATAATTATAATATATAATATAATAATATAATAATTATAATATATAATATAATAATATAATAATATATATTATATAAATATAATAATATATATAATAATTATAAATATACATAATAATTATGAACGTAAATATTTCGGATTGAAACATTCGATAATAGGTCCTGATAAAAAAAGTTAAAAAAACATGAGCTTTCTAATTCTTTTTTTTGTCATTCCAAGTAATATCAAAATTTTTTAAAATTATCATAGCAATTGCCTAGTATTCTATTCCCACTATTATCTAAAAAAAAAAGAAATTCAAATCGTTTAGTCCAGTTTTAAAAAACTTACACCGTTTTTCAAGCGTAAGTATAACTCACGGTAAATTCTCCCTAATTCACCCTCAGCTTGCAAACAAAGGGAGGAACATTTATAATCGATAACTATAAAAACTAACCGTAAAAATAATCGTATCCCCTCTTCCCAAATTGTCCAGTTTCGTGTACAAGCCGAGGGTCAATTAGGGAGAATTTACTATACTTATAGCATCCCCGACACCATCTGCAGTTGACGCGCAATAAATTCGAGTACAATGGCTCGGCTATCGAGGGCAAACTCGCCACGGAGAAGTAATAGCACGATTAAGAAAGGGCGAACGAGCTGGGAGTGAGTGTATCGGTTCCACGTAAGTATGTATGTATGTATGCGGTAGGCGAAAGCCGAAGAGGAAGAAGGTGTCAGGATGAAAAGGACGTCGTCGGCCGATAGCGCGCGAGAAACCCGCCGTTCCGCAAAATGTGCGGCCCGAGAAGTTGCACGTCCCATTAGAACTTGTTTGAACTTCTCAGAGCGCGGAAATTTGAACAACCGTCCCGGGGACGGGTCGGATCTCTCTCCGGGCACGCGTAACGAGTAAAGTTTCCCATTCGCTTTTACGGGACGCGTTACACTGATTAATACGGTTCGCGGCGGCGGCGGCTCCGCGGGAACGTCGAAGCTGATTGATATAAACAATGGGGAGAACCGCGTTCGCTAATAGACCGTGCGCCGGCGGAACGGCGGACAGCCGGGAAACGTCATTCGAATGCACCGCGGCTGCAACGGGCGCGTCAAAATCGCTTTTCAATTAGCATTCTATTAACTTCTTGCACCGGGCCGGCGGATCGATCGCACCGTAACCAGAAACGGACCGAACTAACGCAACTAACAAATCGCTTTGTGTCCGCTCTATCGAGTAATCGAATAATCGCGGCCGATCCGTCGTTTTCGCGGATCGCTGAGGACGAGATTAATTTTTTCGAATAATAACGAGACGAGTGCAAAAGCTGACTCGCGACGATTTTTCCCCGTTCGACGGTGTTCTTTGACCAGTTAGCCGTGTTCGACGAGTACACTCGTCACGGACAAGTGGCGGTATTTTGTGTCACGACGAGTATACTCATCGCGCGTATAAAGCAGCGACCATTGACTATTTAAATTATAATTTTAGCGAAAATGAATACATATTCTGAAATTTCGAGATATTTCGAATATTTTTAGGCCGATCTTATATGCGAAGCTGTTTATATTATTATTCAAATGAAATTAGAAATGAATCACTCTACAGCAGCAATTCTTCCTGCGTTTTTCGTTTATTATGTGTGCAGTGTATGTTAACGTTAAGCGAATAATACTAAATAATAATAAAATGAGTCGTTTATTTTGAAAGTGGCGGAAGTCACTTTACCGTAATGAAAAGTGGTGATTTTTTAATGTTTATACGAAATTATTTATACTGAGAAAAATATCAGTATCCTGAGATAACAAATACAAATAAATCTTCTCGAAAGTTAGCATCCATATTTTTAAACGTGTTAAAACGCAAACCCTTAAATATATCGACTTAAAAACAAGGTGACTAAAGCCAATTTCAAAATAAACGGCTCAAATATTAGTAATAAAATAGAATAGAATAATAGTAAATATTAGGAATAAAATTGTTAATTTTATAAAATAATACCTTTCGATCTTTGTGATCCAGTATTTTAATAGCGACGCTTACTCTGCGTCGACGAGTGCACTCGTCGCTCGATTCTCGCGACACATATAGATGCGCGCTCTGAAAAGAAGGCGTCACAGCTAACTGGTTGAATAGAAATTGGGTCCGTGGAAATTTGCCGAAACTTTCGCAGAAATTCTTCGCGCGTGTTACCAAGAAACGTAAATGCTTTTAGCCGTAGGTCGAGCTTACAAGTCGTCGGCGCGTCTCGCGTTCCGCTTCCGTTTCCGAGACGAGCTTCTTCGAGAGCATAAGTAACGAGGCAGGATTTTCGTCGATCGGTCGCTTCGCGAAACTTTAACTTCGTCTTTCTGTTACAGGGTCGGACGTGGACTCGCTGGATTCCGCGATGTGCACCATGCCCAAGGAGAGCATGCCCAAGTTCCCTCTCTACGAGCTCAGCTGCTTGGTCTTCTTTCTGTTGCCGATGGCGTTGATCGCGGTGCTTTATATACGGATGGGCCTCAGGATACAGAGCAGCAGCCTGGAGGGGTCCAGACACGGGGAGACCAGACAGGCGCATTCCAGGAGGACCATCATACGAATGCTCAGTAAATTTGCAACGTTGATCCGTACAAGTAGACCGCGGATTTTACACAATTCATGACAACGACGAGAACTAATAAAAGCGAAAAGGACAACGAAAATATTTTCAAAAATTTTGGAGGCGCGTACGTGTCGTTTTCAACTCGCTAAAAATTATTGAACGAAGAAAGAAATTTCTACTTGACTCGTGCTTGTTGCAATCGACGAGTGACATTCATTTTATTCTGCACAAAGATCGGCAGTCTACTTATAAAGATCGTAGTTCAAACGATAGATCAGTTCCTTGTGGACATTTTTGAACATTTTAGAGAGAATGGCCACATCTGAGCCAGTGATTAGGTTGCACCCAATTCGCAAGTCATTGATAATTGTGATAAAATAAAAATTATCTGCGCTGATTACAAGTTACAGGAGCTACGTAGACATTGATTCTGACTTTTTAACATTTTAACGAGTTGAAAATAATGCAGCAGTATGTTTAAATTCGTTTGATGTTCTCACTGTCTTGTATTTGACAATTTTTTTTAACAAGAATGCATCAAATACGCAGTCCAGTAATTGAGCGCTTGAGTATAGAATATAGTTCATCGCCATTCGGTGCCATTATTTTACAGTGCAAGTATTTTCCTTCCTCAAGGGACATAAGAATTCGATCCTATATTAGATAAAAAGAAGACATTCGTAATTAATATTTATCATGCCTGTGAAGGCGCTATTGAATTTAACACTAGATTTACAGAACCCGTCAAAATGACGGGTCACTTATTTTTTAATTTACGATTATCCACATCGTAAAGATACATTTATAAGTTATTTATTCAATTTATATGTTACTTACGGCAAATGTTGCAATAACACTTGCTAAAAATCAGAACAAATGCCTTATTGTCACTTTTATAAACTGATATAAAACAGTTGTTTCCTGTGCTCCGTAAATCTAATGTTAAAAACGATATAGCAACGCGGAAAAGTGCAACGTAAGTAAATTCTCCCTAATCGACGCCCACATTGCACACAAAGATGGACAATTCGAGACTCAAATAATCTGATCTCCTCTTCCCAAATTGTCTACCTTCGCGTACAATCCGAGCGCGAATTAGGGAGAATTTACTGTATTCCCAATCGCCATTTTTCATCGCGGAGGCGTCCAATCAAGTTCCTTTTACGCCCGTGACGAGCTGCACTGTTCCCGCGGAAAACAAAAGAAAGGTCCACGTTGGTCAGAATATCCGACGTTCCCACCGAAGAAAAGTTTCCGAAGATCGATCAAGCAACTCCCCGTCCGCAGCGACAAGTAAAAGCTGTTATCTAATCGACGTCAGCTGATATTTCTCATCGTCGACGGCGACAAGTGCCGTCGCGTCGCCGTTTCTATCATCTCGAAACCGACACGAGCTTCCTTGTCGAACGTCCAAAACCATGTACAACGGTACATATCCCGAGCACAAGAGCAGTTCCGCTTTTCTTCATCTTCCGAGAGCTCGCAGCGCGGAAACGTGCTCCGGCGAAGTTTCGGTATCCATTCAATCCGAGTTTTTACCGCGGCCCAATAAATCTCGTTTTATTGCGGTCCCGTTCGTCCTTGCCAAGAAAGTGTCCGCCCTATCCGCGATTTACCCGCGAATTATTGGGCCGGGTTGCTCGATAATATTGAGGATGTTCATAATTAAACGGGTCCGCCCCCGCCGGCGGAACGTTCGACGGAAACACCGTCGTCGAAACGCGGCGACCCCGCAAACGGGGGTAACAGGAAACGGCGATGAAATTTCGGGACATTCGAACGGATCGCGTTAGCTCGAAATAAACGAGAGAAAAAAAAGAATGAAACAACGCCGTCGACGTGACGTGTAAACGGGATTGAAAGTTTGCGCCGCGCAAACCCGGCCCCGGAAAATCTACCGCGATTTTTATCGATATCGAGAGCCTCGCCGATCCGTCAATATTTGCAGCTGTTCCGTGCAACTGCACAATCGGAGGGGCGGAGGGGGGAGGGTCCCAATCTATCCGTCAGGCTGGCCGTGATCCGGCGAAAATGAATTTCGGTCGCTTTGTCGGCGATCCGAGACGCGATAACGCTTTCGAAGACGTTTCTCTCTCTCTCTCTCTCTCTCTCTCTCTCTCTCTCTCTCTCTGTTTCTCTCTCTTCTGTGTTTCCCTATCTCTCTCTCTCTTTCTCTCTGTTTCTCTCTCTCTCTCTCTCTCTCTCTGTGTGTGTTTCTCTCTCTCTCTGTTTCTCTCTCTCTCACTCTCTCTCTCTCTGTGTTTCTCTCTCTCTCTCTGTTTCTCTCTCTCTCACACTCTCTCTCTCTCTGTTTCTCTCTCTCTCTCTCTGTTTCTCTCTCTCTCTCTCTCTGATTCTCTCTCTCTCTCTCTCTCTCTCTCTCTCTCTCTCTCTCTCGCCAAAGACAAAGGCAATCTGTTCGACGGTGTCGTCGCGTATTAAGAACAGCTGAATCCGTGCCAAGAGCAACACGGATTTGTCAGTTCAGTCTCGTCCGATCCTCGAAGAAAAGGAGAAGGAGATCTTGGGATCCAAAGGACCACCGTACTATTCACCGTCTGATCTGTTCGTTTCCTGAGACTAGCGTGTTTCCCGTTTCTTCGTATACCAGAGAGGAAATGCTCTTGTAAAAGATAATCACGTACTCGCTCGTCCCTCTGCATCTAGATCGTAGCGTTTCTAATTCTCCGGAATAAACTTCAGCATTCGTGCCAAATAACGTTGTCTGAACTATTCGTTTCCAGAAAAAGGTTTCGTCCTTTCTGGAACATTTGCTGCGAAAAAATTCTTTTACAGGACGATTACCCGTGGAGAATTTTTACAATTTTTCTAGACAATGTACTCCTGCGAAAACAGGGTTTTGTCGCTTTTCGGACTTTTATTGCGCGAAAGGTTCATTTAAAGGTTAATTACATGTTCTTTCATCTTCTTGCATCTGGATCAAAGCATTTTTAATCCTCTGGGAAATTCTTTAAAATTTTTCTGAGCAATGTTGGTGCCGATGCAAAAGTCCCTTTCACTAAAATTGAATAAAAATATATAAAAATAAATATCTCAATTTGTAAACGTTAGAACTGCATAAATATCCATTTACATTGCCATTGCAAAAGTCTCTTTCATAAAAACTGAATAATAATAAATTAAATTAAATATCTAAACTTTTAAATGCTATAAATGCATAGATATTCGCTTATATTGCCAATGCAAAAATCCTTTTCACAAAAACTGAATAGAAATCAATAAAAATAAATATCTAACCTTCTAAATATTATAAATGCATAAATATCCATTTATATTGCCAATACAAAAATCTATTTCATAAAAACTGAATAAAGATAAATAAAAATAAATATCTAAACTTTTAAATGCTATAAATGCATAGATATTCACTTATATTGCCAATGCAAAAATCCCTTTCACTAAAACTGATTAAAAATCAATAAAAATAAACATCTAACCTTCTAAATATTATAAATGCATAAATATCCATTTATATTGCCAATGCAAAAGTCCCTTTCACAAAAACTGAATAAAAATCAATAAAAATAAACATCCATACCTGTAAATACTACAAACGCATAAACGTCCACAATTTATTCACAAGCGATAAAAGCAACGTGCAGAAAGCACTGAAAATCGGAGAAAATGTTGTCGAATCGACCCAACAAACGCCGAGGCTAGCAAGAGTCTATCCTGAACGAACGAATCGGCGGATTCGCAGGAACCGTCCAACACGATATCGTTCCCGATGAAAACGAGAGTGATCCTGCCTTCGATCCACAGGTGCAGTGGTGATCACATTCTTCATCTGCTGGGCGCCGTTTCACGCGCAGCGGCTCATGTACGTGTACATGGGCGAGTCGTTCGCCGACATCAACGGCTGGCTGTACGTGCCGAGCGGTTGCCTTTACTACTTCAGCACGACCATAAACCCGATCCTGTACAACGTGATGAGCGTGAGATACAGGGACGCTTTTAAGGAGACCCTGTGCTGTTGCCCTGCCAAGCCCTCGGCCACGAGGCTCGACCTAAGCAGCGTGAGGGATTCGAGCGTGGGCCGCGGCCTCGCATCCAGAGCCGGGTCGCAGGTGTTCTGCAGGAGGAACACCAGCAATCAACGCAGCATCAGGTGAGCCTTGTTAACTAGGCCGCGACCTGTTTCTGAGCGACGCGGATAAACAAGCCCGAATTGCCGTTCGTTTTTCCGCTTCAATTCGACCGTCTGGTTTTTGCAATTAGCGGAGCATCGGAGTGCGGAAACCGTGCGACGATATTATTGTTGAATTAAATTTAATAAAAAACAAATATCGTACGCTATTACCCGGCTCCAGTTCCACGGAAAGTATTCGGTCGCTGAAGCAACGACAGGTTCGTCTCAATTTTCTGATACAACAACGCGCTTCGTGTAATATCTTTGTGTTTTGTCAGCGGCTGTTTCGTATTTTATCAATTGTTCTCGGCGGGCGATTCGTTACGACGCGTTCATTGGAACGTGTAATTGTTAAAATAATATGATTTTTATTCAAACGGTTTATTAATATGATTGTATCGGTGTTAAAAGCAAATTTGGAAATTTTGTGCGAAATAAATGCAGGTTTATTTAATGTTGTTGTATTCGTATTTAAAAAGTTATCAGAAATTCGATTGGAAATATTAATCAGTCACCAAGAAAACTTGATATATTTAGCTGGTTCTTCGTTGCTTTTTACGACCTTAAATTTTTTAAATATTCTTCGCGTCACACAGTGAGGCAAAGCGACGAAGTTGTAAAAAAATCAAAGAACTTTCGATGGAAGCGAGACAAAGCTATATTTTCTTTCGCGTTAAAGCTGAAACGTTGCGGATACACATCATTTCCCGTAGATTTTGGCACGCTGATCTCAAATCCGGTCGCAAAATTGATCCACCACATCAGAATTTCGAAGAAAAAATCGATTTAAGCGAAGAAAACTGCCGTGATCGCGATCTCGCGAAGCTATCATTATTTCGGCCACTTCGGCTCGCAATTAGTTCGTCACTGGGTAAATGGATTCCCGATCTCGGGGCATCCTACGAAAGCGTTTCGAAGCTTAATCTCGGAACCAATAGAATGCAGACAAAGTTTCCGCTTTGCTTGTTTCGGCAACGAGAAAAGAGATCTCCCGTCGGAGATCCGCAGAACAAACCGGCCCTCGAAGACGTTCAAAGGCACAATTTGCTGAAACGTGGCGCAATTCTGCCGCGGAAAAGTAATATCTCTCCGGAAATATTTTCGAACGATCTTACCTCGTGCCACGACACATGATTTTTCACTTTGACGTTCCTCCCGACGAACGGAAGTTCGCGTGCGCGCGAATAACAATAACGCTCACGCGGGCCGCATAATATTTCTGCCGATTTCCGTTCTCGTGCAGTTTCGGCGCGTTTCCTTGATTTCTATCGACATCATTGTCACGGGACACCAGCCGGCAGTTCGCTACCGGTGTCCTGGACACGACCCCTCGCCGTCAGAGCCACGCTTTTCCTTTGTTGTTTACTATTTCCCGAACGATCGCGGTGAATTAAATAGGACCGAGCCGCGGTAGGAAAATGCAATCTCCAGTAAGACTTCGCGGGAACGTTCACCTGCAGATGCGCGTTCAAGCTCGTGCCATAACTTCGCCCGTTCGTTCGCACGATTTTTGTAACTATTAGGTTGCGTAATAAAACCGTTCGCGTTTACTTCTAAGAATACATGGTACCGCGCGGTCGTCCACGCGAACGGACGCGTTCTACAATTTCAGCCCAATCTACCCTGTCTTAAAGCAGACAATTCCAGCTTTCGTTTAAGCTAAGTTGCATGGAAATAGCCCCACGAGAACATATCTCGAAATTCATTTGAACTTTTCCTTTGTGAGTCCCACGATATCAGAGGTCGACTTCTTTTAATTTTTCGAAACGATCTCGTCGTTTTATTACGATCTAACGTACCCCGTCTTGAAGTACACACTTGCAGCTTTCGTTTATGCTAAGTCGCATGGAAATAGCGCCACGAAAACATACCTCGAAATTCATTTGAACTTTTCCTTTTAAACCTTATGAGTCCCACAATATCAGAGGGCGACTTCTTTTAATTTTTCGGAACAATCTCGTCGTTCTATTACGATCTAACGTATCCCGTCTTGAAGTACACACTTCCAGCTTTCGTTTATGCTAAGTCGCATGGAAATAGCTCCACGAGAACATATCTCGAAATTCATTTGAACTTTTCCTTTTAAACCTTGTGAGTCCCACAATATCAGAGGTCGACTTCTTTTAATTTTTCGGAACGATCTCGTCATTCCATTACGATCTAACTTACCCCGTCTTGAAGTACACACTTCCAGCTTTCGTTTATGCTAAGTCTCACAGAGATAGCCCTGCGAGAACATGGTACAAAATTCATCTGAATTAACGCATTGAATTTGTGTAACTTTCCTTGTCTTTTCCTAGGTGTCAGAGGTCCGCGAACGGACTTGTTACAAAAAATATTATTATTTTAGTTACTATTATTTTAGTTATTATTATTATTCATTATTATTTATTAAATAATAAAGCCTTGCAGCACGTTCGTATAATCGTCGATTGTCGACAACTATAAAAATTGTCCGGTTCTATTCAAAAGTTGAGAAAAAATTTGAGAAAATTTACTACATTTAAGCATCAAATTGCCTAGATATTTAGCTACCCAAGTGCACCGTTCAAAGGACAAGTTTCCGTAACAAGAGTGGATGATAAATGTCAAAAGACCTTCGCGATCCGCCAATCGAGTCGATTAAAAAGTTCCAGCGCAATTTATCCGGCCCGCTTCCAGAAATCCAGCTAAATAATCCACCTTAAATAACCCTGTAAGTTTTTTGCCCCCTGAACCGCCGTCAGCATTGCACTCGCAGACCCGGCGAACTAACTTAGCATCGGGAAGACGAGAAGTTCGACTCGGCCTTTGTAACTCGGGCTGCAAACGTGCGGCAGCCGCCCGCTCGTCCTTAAATAAGTGATCAATGTCGATGTTCTCTAAGACGGAATTTACGCGAGAAGTTTGCCGGGACCCTCTCTGGATGCTGTCGCGCCGTTTGCCTCATTATCCTCAGATCCCGCGGCTACAGACAGCAGCGAGAGGCTTCTTCGTCGCTCGGTCTCGCTTCCCGTAGTCGGACAGCATCATCGCGCGGTTCCCATCCGAGAGGATTCCGAGGCATAGTTCGCCTGTCACAGAGGTGTCGGGTGTCTTTCGTACGCTCGCGTTTCGCTCACGTTCCGCGTCTGTTTTCGAGCACAGGTACAACGCGTCGATCCGAGCGGAAAAAGTATAAACGCCGCGGCGCGGCGGGGCGAGAGTTACGCTCGAACGACGGAGGTGAAGAAGAGAAAAGGCCGACGGAGACGGCGGGAACGAGCGATTCTTGGTCCGTGAGACTATCGGCGAAATCGGCGGCGGTTGCCTTTGTTGCCGCTTCGTTGGCGAGGAACGGAGATGCTGGGCTTCCGACACGGCCGAAGCCACTTCGTGCGAGACGCCGGTCTCGGATCGTTGCCGAGAGATCGATGAAACCTCGGGGACCCGGACTGGGAAGTTCGCTTTCGGGCCGCGGAATAGTCGGCTGCAAAACGAGCCGGCGGTGGTCGGGATCGGCCGCCGAAAGCCGGGACTTAAAGTTAACGGGGAACGAGATATCGGGACTTAGCGTCGCCGAGCCTCGATCCCGAGGGGAGAAGATTTGTTCCCGAGATGACGTTGGATCGTCCCGATTAATTTGTAACACCGTTGTCCGAAGAGTGTCGCGCGCTGTAAACATTTAAGGCACCCTCTCCACGTCCGCAGGACGAGCTTCTAATCCCTGACTGTAGCCCGCCGAGAGAAAGGGTGCGCGTGTCCTAAGGTGCTCCGCAGGGGCGCTCCTCCAGGAGAAAGCGGACGCGTGGCGGGGCTCGATCGTGGGCACCGAAACGTCTCGACGCACATTTCTTCCTCGAATTGTTCGCAGAGATGATCTCGGGTGTTCTGCGAGTTGGACGATCGACCGGTAAGTTGCAATCGTGCTGTCAGCAAACGCGAAACATTCTCGCGAGCCTTCGTCGATGTTTCCAGTGGTTTCCACCGCTGGTCCCGGCGACAACCGGCGCGAGGAGGACGGACGAGCCAGTTGCTGGCAAGCCGGAAAAGCGTGGACGAGGCGCAACAACGATTTCGCGACTCTTCGAACGAGCTGTCGGGGATATTAATCATCCGGAATCATCGACAGCCCTTCGCACTGTGTAAACACTGCTTGGACACTTTTGTAAATTTCTGCACTATCACGGTTCCCAGACGCGGGGACCGGCCGAATTTAACCGAATTTAATCGACGGACCGCGGATTTATCAGGCTCGTGTAAATACGGTATTTTCACCCGTTCGTTGTACATCGATCCTATTACGGACACGCGTTAATATATGGAACGCTGCTTTATACAACAAATGGTCGTTTGAATTTGTCCCCGCTGACGCGACGCTTCCGGTTCCGTTGCTCCCCTTCCGCCCCGCTGCTGATACCGATTTCCTATTCGTAGTCCGTCGGATCCGCGATTCGAAGCGGAAACCTGATTGCGCTGCGTCTAGTATTATACTATTCCCTAGGCGGCTCGGGATTCCCTGGAGCGCAGTGTTCGATTCGTAATCCACAGGACAAAGGACAAAAATGCGAAGAGCGAGGGCGAAGAAGTCTTGCGAAACGTCAACGACGAAGCGCAGTTTCTCTGGTTTTTTCTAGGCTGAATTCAGTACTGTAGAACCTTTAGAATGAGTGAATAATCTTATGCAAATGGCAATATATTTTTACAATTTTTTGTGTTAAATATTTACCAACTTCGGCGACACTTTGGAAAAAAGGTGCACGAATGTTCTGGTCACATTAAACTTTATTATATATAATATAATAATAATAATAATAATAATAATAATATAACTATATAATAATATATATAATTATATATATATATAATGTATATTATAATATATATTATATTATTATTATTATATAATATATAATAATAATAATATACGATAATACTTTTTTAAAGAACATAGAAAGAATTTTTTGAGCAAACATTTCTTACAAACATTTTACTTTCGAGCGAGACTTATTTTTCATCATTTCGATCTTTCATGCATCAGCGATAAGAAAAACTGTTTAAAGAAAAGTTACTCGGTGATTGTATGACAACAAATTAGAGAAAGAATCCATAAGGCACTTTTTGTTCAATAATAAAAATTAAAATTTTTTTAAAACTTTCTTTAAAAAAGTATTAGGACTCCTATATCGAAAATGAAATAGGAGTCATTAATTTTGTCTAAGGATCCCTTATAGGAGAACAGAGCACCGTGGAACGCATCGAACATGCAAAAGATGGAAACTGCGCCCGGGGGAAAAGAAGAGAATCGGACGAGAGAGGGGAAGCGATCTTCGTTAGCATTTTGTCGTAGGAGAAAATACAGGAGGGTGCTTCCCGTCGCCGCGATGTGCAACCATTTCGTCTTTAACGGATCAACGGGCCTCGCGATAAATATTGCATGATGCAAGTTTCATCGTATTAATAAGATTACGGAATCGGTTCCCGATTTCGAATCGAATAATCCTCGGATCGGGATTTTCTTTTCACAAGGAACGGATATTTATTGTCGGGGATTAAGCGGTTCCCGATAGAAAACGAGAAACGTTTCAATTGGAGCGTAAACGTTGCTCGAAAAACCATCATATCGGATTTTGTGATCGAAACGCGAGACGTCGATTTAACGAAGCTTTTTTCATTATTCGACCGGCCGATTAAAAGGCTCTTCTTTTGCTTTTCGTTTGCCTGAGGAAATTAGCGAGAGTTTCATTTTAAACGCGGCAAATTTATTCTTCTTCCAACCGAACTCGTTTTAAAGCTTGAAACCTCTGCTTTTGCTAGCATCGTTCATTTTTTTATAATCCATTTTTGCGTAATACAGCAAATGGGAAACTGGAGATGGGAAATTCTTTCTTGAAAATCTGACGATTAAAATTAATTAAAATGAAAAATGGATTAAAACGTCTGTAAATACAATAGAAATATTTTTTCGCGGCTGACTCTAACGTAGATTTGAAGCTCGAAGCCTTCTCTTTACAACGATTACTCAAAAATTACTGTACGATTTTTGTTAGTCAATTTATCGAGCTTCGAACGAGTGGCCTACACGAAGGCTTTACGGCTCGAACTTGTTCCCCGTTTCTGTCCCATAAAGTGACTAAAAAAAAATCGCACGCCAAGTTTTTGAGTGTCATTGTAAAGAGGAAGCTTCGAACTTTAAATTCGTAATATATTCATCCATGAAAAAAATTTTCTGATGTCTTTAGAGACGTTTGAATTTGCACCATAACCGAGTAAACCTGTCTTCAGGTTTCGACTTGCTACATCATGTGAAAGCATGTTAGGTGAAAATGAACGACGAATCTTGAAAGTAGAGGTTCCGAGCTTCAAAATCAGCCTGGGTTCACTGTTGTACGACTCGTTTTCGCGAAATTGCAACAGTTCAAGTCTCGTAAATTCGTTGAAAATCGTGTACCGAGACTTTCTGCAGCGATTGTAGGCGATGGCTCGGGTCTGAAGATGATTTAGGCTGCTCTTATCCAGACGCTTATCGCCGCTAATCACAGAGTTTATCGTCGTGAGTGTTCTGGTTGCGTGATCTCCGGTCGTTAAACCTGAGACCGGCGAAAACACCCTCCGGCTAACGTTTGGATTAAGGCCAGGGCTTCTCCCGACGAAAAACCGGCGTAACTCACTAGCCCTTCCCACCTGTCATCCCTTCGCGATTCGCAGCAAGTCTCCGCGAATTCCTTTCGACTTCCAAGTGCAATAGTTACGAGACGATCTTACGCGAGCGACACGCGGCGACACGAAACTAGACCGTCCAAACAGAAATATCATTTTACTTTTAGAGCTGAATCGCTCATGTTTATCCATCAAGCCGCGGCCTTTCTTGAGCTAGTCTCTTATCTTTTATTCATCGGTCGGTGCTCGTTATTTACGGAATCATCCGAGACCGCGGTCGCCTCTTTTTGCGTATAGCGTATGCGATAGATGGAAACGCTGCCGTAGTTATTCGATGCGCAGCCTCTCGGATCGCCTCGAGATGACTAATGGTTGTTTGATTTTTATTGCTCGCGGATTTTTCTCGATCCCGCGATTTCTATTCGCGACAGCGTTTTTTTCGATCGATTAGAAAAATAATATTTATTCCGGCCGTGTGCACCGATAATGATATTACATGTTCCGAGCGTTATCGCGGTCGAAACTAATTATTTATTCATGAGGGCATTTCCTGGATCTAATTGCAACATTTGTTTAAACTGTGCATCGATCACGAGGGGTTAATTAGTTGATGTTCGCGAGACAGATTAAAGATTAGCTCGGGATGTGTTCGATGAAAAGTTTACGGTGTCTTAATAAACGATAAAATGTCGCCGCATCATGCTATAAATTATCGAGCGATCTTTAATAACGTAATAATGTGATCCAAAATTCAAGGGCTCGGGAGCGAATAAATGAAAATGCAATTTCCTCTTATGCAACATGTTTACGCAAATGCAGATATTTTCGCTTTAGGCTGCAGTTAGAATTCGTTTCGTGTCTGAGCTACATTTTGATCGTTTAAGTTAATCCGAATTGTTCGTATTTATTCGTTTGTTTCCGTTTTAATGGTTCGCGTTGCCTTTTTAATCGACCGTTCGTTTCGAGTCATTTGGTCCTGGAAGTCAAGAAAAATTGTACAGCTCCACGACACGAAGAAATCGTGTACGTCGAACTGAAATTAATGGTCGAGAAAGATTGCTAGCTTTTAGGTAAGATTCATAAATCGCTTCAGGAAATAACTGTACCGCAATGTACTGCTTTATTTTGCTACCGCCATAGAATTTGATCACGAATAATAATAATAATAATTTTCTCTCGAATAATGATTGAAAATTGCCATCATCACTGAATTGTTTTCACAGAAAATCTACAATTTTTCAAAAGACCAATTAGTAAGAAATTGATCTTTTGAAAAATTGAAGATAAATCATTAAAAAAATTATTATTATTAATTAAAATTATTATTTTTAAGTGTAAAACAGTTCAACTTCTTTGATTTTACTGTTGCATAATTGTAATTAATTACAGCTGATTGTGTGAGGCAATTCGAAAGCAGGAAGTATGTTTAATTACTCAGTAAAGTAGCTCGCAATTCTGCGTTTGCATTACATTTTAACTATATTTTCAACATACTTTCTAACTTTCACATTCTAAGGTGTTGCGCCACCACGTGTCGAGATCCGGAAATTTAAACACAATTCAAATTTCGCGTCTACTTCTGTTGGTCACACTGCAGGAAGAATTACGGCGCACTCGTATCTAAGTTCACATGGTTGTTAAAACTTTATTTTAGCAGTTGGCTACTCTGAATCGACGCTCTCTAACGGATTCAACGTTCAAATTGCCGTGCCTGCACGAGATTTTAACTTGATTATTTTTATTCGATAATTTTGTGGAGAAAGGTATATATAATTATAATGTTATTGCTTCGTAATGTAATAAGTAGATCAGAGAATTTATTCTAATATTTTTTGGTCAAATTTTTGTCGATTGTATGTCACAATTTCGTGGAATTCTACCTAGTATTATTGTTTACTATTTTTTCCTTTGCCTACCTAGAAGATTGTTATAGTTTCTTAGAAAAATTTGTAGTACATGTTAGAGATAACGCATAATATCCATTTCATTACTATTTTAGGAGCAATTAGATACTTGTACTGTTATTTCAATGTGAAACAAATAAGTGGAACTTGAATCAGTGACCTGACAGCAGAGATGCCTAGCTATAGTAAGTAAATCTTATACATGTATTATTTAAATTCGTTTACATTATAATATTTACTTTTTAATTGTAGAGGATGATCTAGTTTATAAGATAAGAAACAAGATAGAAATGGAGAGAAAGCATAACAAAAATGGAAGTTTAGAAACGTATTCCGATGATAAAACTGAAAGTTCTGTTAGCGAATCGCAAGATTTTTGTTTACAAATGTCACAGTCTTCCATTGTGCCCGATACTCAAGATGTAGTTGTAAATGTTTATAATACAGAAGTTATAGTGATAAGTGACTCTAGTTCTAATGGTTCTAGTCCTAAACATTCTACTGACTCTCAAGCTAAATATACAAAACGTTATACTCCAAAACATAAGGTGTGTATTGAGAGTTCTTCAAATTCTGAATGTTCAGACAATCAGGAAGAACATATGTTTGAATTATGGAGGAGCAATAAGAAATTTGATTTTTTTGATAATAATAAAAAAAGAAGTACCTGTGCTAAGAAAAATAGTATTTTGTTTACATCAGATGATAGTGCATCTAATAATAGCGATTTAAATGATAAATTCATTAGAAGTTCTGCTAAAACTAAGAGTACATATATTAGCTTTACTCCAGAGAGCAATAAAAAAGTTGCATCACAGCATAATGCTCAGGTACACATTAATACCGCACAGGAAAAAAATTTATTATCACATCATGTTGGCGACAGTACTGGCAAAAGCATCGATAAGCCTCAGAAAGCTTTGTCTAGCATTGAACGGATTGAGTCAAAGAAAAAGCTTACAAGTAAAGACATGAAAAGTATTATGAAAACTATCAAGGCAACGAAAGTAGTGTACGAGTCGCCCAGAAGAAACAATAATGTAATAATCGATGAGAGCATAGATAATGATCTACATCCAGCTTTTCAGAATAATTTTAGAGAAAATACTAAAATTATTGATGAAACTCCAACAACTTCTAACAGTGACATTCCTCAAGACTCCAAAACGAATTCAGATAATTTATATAAAAATCTTCCCAATGAGATTTCGAATACTCCAAACGTGGACAGAAATATAGATACACCGTCTGAATTATCAGAAAGAAAAAAGAAGCAAATCTCAGAGTGGCTTATGACCAATTCCCCTGATTCCATAAGTGATAGCTCCATGAGCATAGTACCTGCTAGCAATAAAAATGATGTCAGCTCTGGGAACAGCAGTTTGGAAAGATTAGAAATGAACTATGAAACACCAAATAATAGGGAAAGAATACACAAAGCACGAACGAGTGAGAAAAGGGTAACAAATGCAGAAGACAATAAAATAGTACAGAATTCTATACCAATAAAAATAGTACAGAATTCTAAACCAAAACAAAGTACCATTCTAGACTACACGAAACGGTCGAAAAATAATGTTCTTGAACTTTGTACACCAACAATTAAACACACAACAAATGAAATTTCCACTCCTGCAATAAATAAACTACAAAACATCAATGTCATGGATTGTGCAGAAATATTAGACAAATTGTATGGTACATCTTGGAGACAAAAGGCAGATGAGTTGCTACCGAAATCAGAACCAAGAAAACAAGCAGTTGTAACAAAAAATAGAGCAGTTCAAACTGAAAGGTAAACCAAGAAGACATTTTTTTATTTTGTAATCAACTACCAAATATTACAAGTTTAATTTTGATTGCAGGAAACAAAGGACCAGAAGAATTATATGCTCATCTGAGTCAGAAGATGAAGATAGTAGTGCATGTAAGTGCATTCTAACAGAATATTATTCTCATATTTCATGTTATCTTACAACGTTTCTCTATATTGTGTAGCTCCAGAAGAATTAAGACCACATAAACCTTCAACAAAAAGAAACGGTCGCATAGGTATTAAACAGAAGGACAGTTTTATTAATGATGATATATCGTCAGAAAGTGGATGTGAAAGTTCATATTATACTGCATTGACGAACCCCAGAACATCGACGAACATCTCACAACCTAAACTAACCACTCAACCTCGTGTAAAAAGGTAACAAAGATTTTGATTAAAAAGTCTAAAGGATATATGTTGAATTTAAATAATTGAGACATTGGTTTCACAGAGCATTAAGAATCTGTGATACAGACGATGATGATAAAGATGAAAATGAAGGGAATAATCGTAATGATATACAGGACCTGAAACAAAAGAAACTGTATTTTAGCGAGGATGAAAGTGAAAGTGACAGTTCAAGTACCAGTGAATTTGATCCTGGTGATGATGTACCACCAAAACCTGCAATCAGAAAAGGTAATATATATTAATAAATTATTCAGGTAACATGTTCGTGAAACTGGACAATATTTACAGATCTAATCAAACTTCCGCGACAAACGGTTAAGAAAACTACTATAATTAAATCAGCTTCTGATAACCGGAAATGTGAAAGGAAACATAGTTTTCTGGCATCTTTGTCTGAAAATGTCCTTCTTGCCAATGTACATCCAGATGCCAAAAAATACCGAACAGACTTTAAAACTAATAAGGAGAGTCTGTGCAATTATTTATATAAATTATACAATGAGAAGGTCTTTGATGAGCAATTACCAAAGGACATGAGCATAGAATGGAATGTTCGTATGAGAGGAACGGCTGGTTTTTGCTATAATAAGAAATCAATAAAAACACTTGGAAATGTTGAAAGATCATCAAGAATAGTTCTATCGACGAAGGTATGCAATTACATTGATGAACAAAATGTTAAAAATATCGACTAAAACTATGTTCAAATTTTCACGTAGGTTATAGATACACCGGATAGACTTCGGGACACTTTGATTCATGAAATGTGTCATGCAGCTGCCTGGTTGATAAACAATGTCTCTGATGGGCATGGTCCATATTGGACGGGATGGTATACATTTATAATATAATTTGTTGTCTTTATGTATCCTAAAAGTCATTTTAATATAGATCCATTTTAGGGCTAAGAAAGCCATGAAGACATTTCCTGACCTACCACCGATTCGCAGATGCCATGATTATAAAGTTGCAACCAAGTTCACATATAAATGTGTTGGCTGCGGGTACAGGTACAATATCTAATACGTAATTAATAAACTTAAGTATGGATGAATTAATAATTATACAATGTATGAAATTATTGCAGCATTGGCAGACATTCCAAGTCTTTGGACGTCGAAAGGAAACGATGTGGTCACTGCTTCGGAAAGTTCGAATTACTGATTAATAAAACTACAAAATCTGGAACAGTACAAGTACAAACGCCTAAGAGAGAGCTCAATGGGTTTGCGCTTTTCGTAAAAGAAAATTATAATTCTGTAAAAAAAGATCGCAACGTGAAGCACGCAGAAATAATGAAGATTTTAGGTCAGCAGTTTTCGGCAATTAAAATTGCAAAGAATCAGGGGAATTTTGAGATCGAATCCGACCTTGCTGGTCTGAGTTAAGTCTTTCAAGGAGAGGTCAAACTTGTGGGGTCATAATTTTTAAATATTTCTGTTTATGTGACCCCTCCTTCTTAGTTTTAAAAGTTTGCCTGAGCATTGTTTCAAATGCTTTTTTATATTTTACATTGTACATTTTAACGTGGATGGATACTGCTAGAGCAACCTATATTTTAAATAATTATTCGATGATTGACAAAATTGATTTTATCATTGCAGGCATTGGAATGAGAGTTTTAAGATGATATTTTTATTACTATATAGAAAAAGAACTTATTATATTAGTTATAAAGACTATTTTTACAGCTAATATAAATAGTTGTATTGACGCTATAGTAATTTGTAAAGATTGTATGAAAATATTATAATAAATGACATATACATGACAAATAATGTATGAAAAAATATTCAATACGAGATAGAATCTCTTTTTTTTCGCAAAACTCACCGTACATATCACGGTTACCATAATTATTTGAATCGTGTTCTCTTACTTTCAAACCAGTATTTCACCCACTTGACATTTTTTGTAGTTCGTGCACCTCTTCTAAAATCTCCCTTATCATCGCTATTCGTTCTTCCTTTTCGTCTTATCTTCTTATCCTTCCTTATCTCAATATTTGTTTTCCTACTCATACTATTATAAATCGTAATACAATTTTATTGTTTTCCGATATTTTTGTACTGTACTCCATTTTTTACTCTATTATTATCACTTTAATTAATTTTCCGATTACTCGTTCCTTTCTTATTGTATTTTTTTATTGTATCACTTTGATACTTTTTTATGCTAATCGTGCACACGATTACATATTGTCATCGTTATATTATGCAACATAGGGACTTTTTTCTCGTTGAACAAATAAACCAATTATTGTTACCAAAACTATTTAAGTAAGAAAACATTTTGCGCGCTCGGCGGCACACACAGATAGTCATTAGTGCACCCTGTAAATATAGTTCAAGCAAGTTTAAATGTTTCTAAGATTGCAAAAACATGTACAATAGTGCCTCTTTATCGCGAACGCGATTTCTACCTCGTCTTTCCTCTCTTCGTTTAAAACTGTGAGAACAGCATTACTTAGCTGTGAAGCTCAACTAATCACAGAAAAGCAGTTTTTGTACCTACCCTCATATTTATAAGCGCTTTGCCCCCGACATCGCTGAGTATGCCGTGACACTTCTAGACACTACGTTCCATTGAATTCGAAAGGGTGTAGAGAATCGTTTTGCGCAAGAAACGTTCGTGCTATTTTTCTGGTCGAATCGGAAAAACTTCCTAATCGCGAACGGTGAATTATGGTAATTTAACGCGGCGATTAAGGCTGTTTCCACGCGAACGTCGCCGATTGTTTCATGTGCACGGAGCTACGGATAATTTGAACGTTGGAAACGCATGCGTTGAGAACGGATCGTGGCGGCGGCGTCGACAGCGCACTCTAAAAACAGTCGAGCCGAAGATGGCGACGTGCGAGTGGCGGTGTCGGTGCGGTGTTTAAGAGAAAGGACCATGTTGTTGCCGCAGTGTTCGCAGTGTTTCCGTGATCCGCGTTGAGTTCGTGCAAATGTAGGAATGTCAGAGGCTAAACGGGTACCTTTGCAGACCTTGGAGTTTCCGGAGTCCTTGGGCTACACCGCGAAGAAGGAGAAAAAGGGAGAAAAGGGCAAACAGCTCGCGCCCTCCTTCCGCTTCGTACTCACCCTGCCAGAGTCGAACGAGAAGGCATGTCCTGAGTTCAACTATGCACAGCTCCTCAAAGCAAGCGAGGTCAGTTTCTTCCTTTCACCCGTCGATCTGCAATATTCGAGGAGCAAAAAGGAAAAAGGCAAGAGGAGCGCACGAGTCCCATACGGTTGCCTCGGCCCAAAACATCTCGACGGCCGAGGCAAACACCGGTTGCGATAACGTTTCGCGAGACCATACTTTGACAAGAATCTGCAAAAATTCCAATGGGATCGACCATTTTCGTGTTGCACGAAACAAGGGGGACTCGTGCGCGCCGCTTAGGCGAATTGTCATGTTGCGATTATCGCGTGAGATCCGGGCATCTCGGGCCTTGGCGTTATATGGGTTTTATGCGAGCGGATCTTCAACTTTTTTTCGGGCCAAGACCACGTCGTCGCTTGTATCTACGGACTAGGCAGAAAAAGGTGTGATCAATTCGAAGCCATCGAATAGAAATGTCATAATGCGTCGCCGGTAATGTGCTTGTGACAACGTATGCTCGGGCGAAAGGCGGTCGTCTGTTACAAAGTTTTCTTTAGAAATCTCGTCACCGACCGAATGCCACCAGCAGTTTCCAACGATAGTCATTGTTCGGAATCTACGAAATAGATACGGAATCACTGTTACACCGACCATACGGTCCGGCATTGCAACTTCTCCAAGGCGACGTGACTGTTGCACGTTCGCGTACGTTCTCGCGCCTTGTTTCCCAATCGTTTGCATAGCTGGTCCGGATTCTCGTTCGAACGATTTTAATACGTAGCCCACGGGTTTTATTTTTCTCTTATCGCGATGATCTTACGTATACGTTCTCGCAGGAAATCCCCGATCTTAATTTTACGATCGATGCGCCGAGACGGGACTCTCGCGCCCATCGACGTTTATGAAATACTATGTGGCACGTTAGACCGTACTCGCGTCGTGTAATTGTGACAATGTTCGATTAATGCGTTCCATTTTTCATTTTTATTCCACCTTTAATTAGAATGTTCTTTTACGTAAACGATAAGCTTATGTTTTTAAAACGCGGCGTTTTCTAACGACGGGAAATAACGATAGAAACCAGGCAGGAGCAATTTTCGCATTCTGTTCGCATTGAATTTAAGGAATATTTAGTAATTAAAATTTTTCTTTCATTTTTTTAAATCTCATTATCATTTGAAAGTAATCGCGTTCTAGTCGCGGGCAGAATATAAGTATGATCTCGAATGTTTAATTACAATCTAAAACATCGTTGTTTTATTTTTAATTTAGTATCGTCAAACGATTACGATGTAATGAGTAGGCATCGTTGTTATCCAACACATTGTAACCGCATCGAATAAATTTTTCATTTAGAAAATTTCCGTGTTCTCTGTCTCTATGGATATTATCCGGTGTTCGAATTTTTTTACGCATAATTACTGCACATGTATATCGTAAAACCATTAATGACGATATTTATGCAAAAGTTCTGTATCGGCGCATGACCTAGACATCGTATAATAAATGTTTTTATGTTATTGTTTACGAGCGATATTTTACGCGAATATTTCACGTGGCATATGTTTTTTAGTTAGTTGTTCCCCTTTATACGTGGAGCCCACATGTCCAGATTTATTGACAAATGTATTTTTGTTGGTATCAATCACTCGTTGTAGCGTCTCTGGTATCAGGGTAGCAGGAGATAATAAGAAGTCGCTCGTCGCGAAAGAAAGGGCAGCAGGCGCTATACTCTACGCGTTGCATGTGCTCCTGGTATCAGTGGACAGCACATGCCCTCTTGTGAATCAATTTTGTCTTCTCCTCTCGGTTGTATCGTAACTTGTAACTAACTGATCGATATTACTTTACAACGGAAAGAGTATATATTTATTTCTTGTATTTATTAATAATTAATGATTCATTGTAAATAAATCTGCTTTATCGATCTTGTATATCTATAATCTTATCGCGACTATTACGAATTTTTGACATTCACAGAACGCACGCCTTTATTTTGATATTAAAGATGAATGATATTAAAGATGAACGAATGATAAATATAATGATAAATTCATTAGAATTCATTGATAATTACGATGCATAGACGTGATATACAAGATGTTCCGGTATTTATGGTAGAACCGGAAGTTGGATGATGATTATGTGGCGAAAAACTAAGCAAAAAAATATGGAACAATTAAATTTGTTATCGAGAAAATATTTGCATCGCTTCGATCTAATTTTGTTTTGAAAACGAATCTTTTTTTGTATCGGTTCGATATTATGCATTTGACTTTTTTCCCGTCGGAGAGTTTGCCGCGTTTTCGATTGTGCCCACACGAAGATTGGGACACCTCGTATAATTTTGTTCAATTATCTCGTGCAATGCAAACAGCTGATGATTGGCGTGCATGCGCAGTGCACGGACTATTTCTGAATTTTTGATAAAATAGTGAAAGTACGCGGCGCGTACATTGTGGGTTAGTAGGTAATGTCCGGCTGACAATGGAATGGTAACACCGTCCGGTTTTTCGTGCTTGAAACAAATGATGATCGTTTCCTTTTGTTGCAGAAGAAACGTAGGAAAGAACATAAACAGGAAAATGCAATCAACGGACTACCTTTCGACGACGATGACGATGACGACGATAAACTTCGTGATATGGCGCGGCGATTCGAAGCGAAATATGTACGCAAGTTATTAATTATGTTGATGTGTACAGAAAAATTAATTTATTATTTGCTGCATATTTATATATTTAATTGATTCAAAGGGAACATCAACAACTGGAAGGAAAAGGACTAAATATGATGATTATGTGGATTTGGGTGCTGGATATGATGAGAATGATTCGTTCATCGATAATACTGATGCAGTAAGGATTAAAGCACTATTATATATTATTGCATTTATTATAATGAATTATTTTATTGTTTTAGTACGATGAAATCGTGCCGGAAGAGATGACTACAGCACACGGAGGTTTTTACATCAATTGCGGAGCTCTTGAGTTTAGGTCGGCAGATCGACATTCATTGGTTCACAATAACAACAACAACAACAATAATAACAATAGTAATGAGGAAGAAAGTAGCGAGAGCAGCGAAGAGGACACGGAAGATGTGGACAGCCCCAAGAGATCAGAAAAACGAATTCTCAGTTCATCGGATGATGATGAGGCTGAAGAGATTCCCGGTGATCAACCAAGAAAAGTAACTGAAGTTATGATGAGACATTGACCCGTAGGATTGCAATTAAAGTTAAGAAATCTCATAATATTTTACAGAAGCAAAAGTTAGATGAAAATGGAGAGAAGAAGTCTGTTCAAGAAAATATCATCAAGAAAAAGAAACGGCAACCAAATTTACAGGATCAACAAAATTCTCAGCAGGACGGGGAAGCTTTGAATAAACGAAAAGAGAAAGCAGAAACTACAGACACGGAAGGTGATAATGTCAATACAAAATAATCTTTTGCGTCGATAAGAAAATTATGTTAATGTTTGTTGCATATCAGTTTCAGAGGATCAAGAAGAGAAGAAAAAGTCCGACAAGACTGAATTGCAAAAAAGTAAAATCACGTCGGAGAAAAAGTTCGATATAAAGAAATTTGAAAAGAAAGCAGCTAATACGAATGGCATCGATGGGAAGAAGCTAGATTTAAAGAAATTAGGCGGTAAAGATAGTAATATTGATGATGCGATAGAGAGTGTAGTTAATGCTGCGAGGGTCGAGGATGAATCGAGTCGAGATACCACCGATTCCGGTAAATCTCGTTGTATAGGCACAGAATCGGAGTGCGACGAGAATGACAAAGAAACACCTTTGCCTGACTCCCTTCCGGAGAATATTGTAGAAATAGTTAATGAATTAAAGGCGCGAGCCGAGAATAATAAAGAAGGGAAAACTAAATTTTTCGACTCAACAGTAAACGCATTATTGTTAAGGTAAAGCAATATTGAATTTTCGTTGAGCATTCGATACGTACAAATGATCGCATGATTATAATACATTTATTGCAGTTTAGAGAAAAGATTAAGAACTCTTTCCTCGCCGGGTCTAAGGATAGAGACATATGAACATTTGGCACGATTCTTATCATGTAGTAAAAAGGCGCTGCAAAATAGAACAAAGAAGTTATATCTACAGGATGTTGAGATTAATATCAAGAATCTTGTACAAAGGTAGTATGATCTTTTTCGTCTCGAAATGCTTAAGAACAGTTAAAGCAAATAATCTGTGTTACAGGTTAAAAGAAGTTATCGACGATATAACGCCATCTGTGATGATGAAATTCATTGATGATTGTGAGAAGGTCGCTGAAGGAAAGTAAGTATTTTTGTTGGTACATTAATCTTGCAGGGTTTACGTATTTAACTGATGTTAGCCAGACAAATCTATAGAAGGAAAAAACTTGAAAAACACTTCCGTAGTCTTAAAACGTAAATTAAATGAGTGCGTAATGTTGACTGGGAACTCACTATAATTTTCTATTTCTTAGTCCTCATTTATACTGGGATATATACCGGTACTGTTGGTAAGGTGCCCCTCGCAAGAGGAAACCCCTTTCTATTCTTACCCACCTCCAATTGTTCTTTATCTTCCTCTTCTATCTTATCTATTTTCCCTTTTACTCTATTCATGCTTACTTGTCGCTGCTACCTCAGTGTTTCATACATGTGAAGATGATTTTATTCGCCCATAAAATGTAATGCAACATTTAATTCTCATTTATTTGCCATTGTTAGAGAGATGGCGGAGGAATTGCGGGGCTTTTTATCATCAGTATCAGTGTTTAATTTCTCATGGTTGCCATCCTTTTTTCGAACAACGAAACATTACTTTCGAACAGAGTTCCATTTACATATGCATTTTTATGTAGGAGTTCATGTTAGATTCTTATGTAGGTGAAAACAAAAAAATCATCACTCTTCATATCATATCACACACACGTAGAAAATTCTCTTGGATCTCATGGTCTGCAATTAACGCCTTCGTTTCAGGGAAATCGAGGGATCACCTGCAGATACTGAGAGTTTCGATGACCAAGACAATTGTGTGAATTCGGAAAAAGCAAAAATACCGAAGAAACAATTTCCTTGGACCGAGGAAACGAAGTAAGACTTTTCATTTATTCTGCGAGATTGTGTCAAGATTCGCGGACTAATCAATTCTTTTTCACATTGCAGAAAACTTGTTTATGAAATTGCGAATGCAAAAAGAGAAATGTATACTATCTTGAGACCAAGGAAATCGAAGGAGACCGAAGATATGTTTAATTTTGTTGCATCCTACATGGTGCAATACGTATTACCATTATGGCCAAGTGGATACATGACACAGAGCGCTTTATTACAGTTTGTTAAAGATTCTGAACCTGTGTACGTTTCTACATATAATTAAGATAAATATTACATCACCGATCCTTAACACGTGATTTGATTGCAGTCCGAAGAAGAAGCCGAAGAAAGCGAAGGATATCGGCAACGGTAACACCACCAGTGCAACCGGAAATGCAGTGTACAATTCGGTGGTGAAGGTTGAAGCAGCTAGCGTAAACAGTGCCCTATCTCAAGACAAGGAGAAACTGCCGGCGAGTGTGTCGAAAGTTCAAAATACTGCTGAAAGTTCCAGCAATTATGTGAAACAAGGAACTACCAAATCGACTGATAACACCGAGAAAAAGCAGCAGAGTGTAAAACATAAGGAGAGGAGTAAAGACATAAACAGTTTGGGCCCGCAACACGAAAGTTTGACGGTTGGCGCGAACAATTCCGCTGTGGGTAAAATTTCTGTCGTGCCTACAGCCCAGTTAATGGCAATGAAGCCGGTTAAATGTCACATGGACAAAATTAATTTGATGGACTTAGGTAATAGTTCCCTTTCTATCACGCCTGTTAGCGAGTTTCATAAATCATCTACTAAAGTGAACGAGAATAAGAAAGATGTAGTTTCTATTACGGCTTATCCTGAAACGTCGAACGTTCTTCCAAATGCAAATGAAGTGCCTCAAAGTGGACATCATTCCATACACAGACAGGAAGCTTCATACTCATGTTCACAGCCTCAGCATTCTAATTATCCTACGTTGAATCAAACGTCCTCCCATTCGAAGCCCGTGTCTCTAAAGCAACGGTTGCTGCACGAGACCACCGAAACCAAAAACGAGAAGAAGTTGGAGGAGAAAGATATCGATGTTACTAATAAGACTGAGAAAAGAGATAAGAGGCGAGAACGGGGCGTGGAGGTCAAGCACAAATCAAATGATGTTAAGAAACGAAAGAAAGAGTCGAAGGTGGTGGAGAAACAGATAGGGCATGTTAGTTCGGACGTTGTAGTGCCTATGCAGCAACAGCAACCGCCTCTGTCGAAGGAGGAGCAGGAGCAAAGACAAAACGAGGAGACGATTGCTGCTACCAATTACTTGAGTCAGATCATTAATGATGATGTGCCCGCCAGAGGCGTGCCGGATAAACGGAAAGACGGCAGTCTTTTGTTAGACGAGCCTGTGAGCAACACTGTGCAGCCAACGGAGCACGAAAAAGACGTTCAGATGGTGATGAGATCCTTGAAGGAACTCCAAGAATTACAGGAAATGAAGTATTCGCCGAGTAATTCTCCGGTCACCACTAGTATGCAGAAACCGAACAAGTTAAATGCGCAATGTACTTCTTACCAGGATGACTATACACGCATGTATCTTAAAAAGGACGTGAAAATGAAGTCCAAAGAAGACTCACAATGGCAGTAGTAACATCACAATCAAATAACGTGCACCGTAGCCGCAGAATTATGTTGAACAGGAATACTAAGGAAAGCCAGTGGTCAGATAATAATTTCATAGAGATCTATAGGGCGGACGTTTCAGTGAATCTACATTATTTTTTATGGAGACGAGTAAATGTGGGGACTGATCAGAACTTCTTCCATTACTGCAAGCCGCGTCACCACCGACGACCAAAAAATGAAAGAAAAAAAAAAGAAAAGCAAAAGGAAATCCATACGCAGCTGGTAAATAGTGTGCCGCTATCACGCGTCTGTGTCGCGTTGATTTTTAAGTATTTTAACGAACCCGCCAAATTCTGTAAATATATTAATTTTTTCGTAGTTTTCGAGGAGAAACGCGCGTGTACAGAGTAAGCATAAATTATGAAAATATGTTAATCGTATAGACACTTGTACATAAGTTATGTCGTCCATTCAACGCCGTGAATGGAATGGTCTTTCGAAAGATCCATTTTTTTATTTGACGGCGTATCGCTGCTTCATAAATTTCACACGAGTCTACCAGCAGTTCAGAGTTTCTTTTCCCTGTATACGGTGAACCATAACGGTCGTGTAACCGTCGTATGATCCGTTTCACTGTGAACCTTATTTGTAAAGTGCTTTTATTTTTATGTACTGCCACGGTATGGGAGGGGTGGGTTAACGCTGTTAGTATATGTTTAATTTCTACATAGGTGTCGATAATACATGGCCACCCTGAGTCGTCGTGCGGGGAAAGCTGTTTGTTCTTATTTCACCTCTGGCAACAAAATATTCGATCTATCATTAGAATCGGATGTACAACCTCGTGGCAAAAGGTATTCGATCATTTCCTTTAAAACACAATAACTCTTTTTCAAACTCGTCTAAGTGACCTGAATATATTTTTTAAGTGTCAAAGGGACTAGTTCTTGTAATTCTGCTGTTACATAAAATAACAGCAAAGGATAAAAAATACTCGTTGTTTAACTTTAGCTAAAAACTTCATTGAAATTGGTTGACGCATAGTCAAGCTACCAAGTATACTAAGAACCAAGTATTTTTCATGTTTTTGTCTCGTTCCAAGGAATAGCAAAATTAACAAGACGTATTTTAGTCATTGCACAATAAACTAGTACCTTTAACATTTTAAAGAAATTGAAATCATTTAGTGGAGTTTCAAAAAAGTTATTGCATTTTAAAAGCTGAATGAATATTTTTTGTCAGAGATTGTACATTCGATGTAAACGTTGTAAATCTTTCTTTATTACTTTATCAAGCTACTTAAATACCTTCAGAACGATGCATAGCGCGTTATTTTATATCTGAAACCAGAATGGTTTTATTAACTTTTTAAATATCACTATTTCTTCTGTCGTATATATATATATATTATATATATTATAATATTAATATTATATAATATATATATGTATAGTATGTGTAATATATATTATGAATGATCATACTTGATCGAATATTGTTTAGCAGGAGCGGAGAAAAATGAAGAAACAGCGATTCGTGTCCATATCTTTCGGTGTTACATTGGAAATCTTCACCTACGAAATTCAATGTTCGGTTGTATACGTCCTAATTCGTGTTCGTAGGACAAAACGGTACACACAAGTATTGAAACAGAAATTTTATTATTTGGCGGTACCAGTTGCAGTAGAACGACGAAATGCTGTAAATGTTCACGCTATTTATAAACGAAGTAGGAAAAAATAAAGTCTGGAGCATCTGTTTATCGTATATTCGATTGTACGCTGGAATATGTTGACGGTGTTCGAACAGTTCAAGGATAAACGAGGGAAGTTACCGCAATCGTTGAATTTGTATTTAAATGAAAAGAAAAAGGCTACAGAAAACTGTATAGTTTGGTACGGCTGTCTGGTCAGACGAGAACAATTCGAGTAATCAAGGATGCCTGAAAGGACGAAAGAAAGAGAGAGAGAGAGAGAGAGAATCAGAGAGTGAGAAAGAGATAGAGAGCGAGAGAGAAAGCGCGCGTGTGAGGATGCGAATGAAAGTACTATTTAGAAAGAGCTACGATATTTTTGAAACAGAAATACTACGATTAGTGATGTATTATAATGCCGCATACCTTCTTTTCCCCCACCCCCACCCACCCACCCAACCCTCTACGGATACTNAGAGTATAATTGAGAAAACGTCTTGTACAATTCTGCACCGAGAATTTCCACGAAGACGACGTAAAATATAAGTTTTGAATATTTTTTACAATATCTACATATATTTCTTACCTTTACCTTTGTCTGACTACCAATACTTGTAGAGGTGCCTCTGAACGATATCTCTGTGTGTAAGTTCTGTAAATACCACCGTTACGAAATAATTTATTTCCAAAAAAAAAAGAAAACAAAAAGAAGAAGAAAGAAACACACTCTCGCAAAACACGACAAATTTTTTTGTATTATTTGTAAGTTTTAAAAGGTATTAAACAGAAATTCGAACGTAACAAGTGTTTTATATGGAACGACAAGCCGTCATGGTTTCGGCACAACGCGTTCCTGCCTGCGGTCTCCGTAGCTTCGGGATAATATCGAAGCGGTTCCGATTCATTGGTCGGCGAGCAAGAAGGTCGTGGCAGCGCGACGAACCTCCGATGCCCGCGGATCTTTCGATTAGCAGTGCACAGGATGCGTTTAGTTTTGTCGGCCTAGCAAGGACACCGGCTCCGGCATAAATACCGGGGGATCCCCTCGGCGGCGACCAGTCGAAAAAAATCGCTCGGGGCCCTAATCCACAAGGGACATGTCGCCGCTAATTCGGACCGTGGCGTTTCTGCCGTTGATAGCGCGGGTCCTTTGCGACTCCGGCGGCTCGATCATTCTCCACGGGGAGAATCGATCGGGCTCCTCGTTGAGGGACATCCTGCAGAAAAAAATCGACTCGACCCGAGTGATCCTCGACGACGAGAAAACGAGCAAAGGGGACAGCTACGGCCGCAACAGGGGCCAGCTAGGATTTAACGAGCGCAAGCAGGACGAGAGGAGATACGACGAGCAGGATAGCAAGCAGAAGGGCCACGACAAAGGAAGACACAGCCTAGGCGAGTCCGAAGCCATCGATCAGGGGAAGAATGCTTTTGAACGGCACGGGAGCGGATATTACAAAAAAGGACACCACAGGACCGGTTTCACCAACAACTACCATAAGGACGAGTCCGGCAATAACTCGAGCTTTTACGAGGACAGCGACGACGAGGGAGGCCATAGGTCGTCCGGGAACAACGGCGTTTATTATGGCCAGAAATCGCGGGACTCGTTTAGGGACGGGGCCCGTGACGCCTCTTACGCTGAAAGGGACCGGGCCCTGCAAGGACTCTATGACAATAAGCAGAAGTAGGTTTTGTATTATTTCTATGTTCTGATCAAACAGGCTAATATTTAAAAGAAACTTCAGCATTTTCTTTTAAATACAAATATGTCCCGATAGAAATTATTACATATATATTATTATATATTATTATATTTATATATAATAATATAATATATATATTATATTATATTATAATTTATATATATTATAATATATATATTATATAATATATGTAATATAATAATATATTGTATATATTATTATATTATTATTATTATATATATATATTCGATATATTAAAAGAAGCATTGCCGGTAGGCCATTAACGACTGTTCTTGTTCAGCTATCAGGATTATCGCGATCACACCGGAGGATACCAGAGGGATCGATTTCAAGACGACAGAAGAAACTATCTGCAAGACGAAGCGGGACGCTACTTCGATCGAAACGGGAACAAAGTTTACTATCGCAGAGAGAACTTGTATCCAGCTGCTCGTCGTTATAACAATTATTTGTCGCCGTTTGGGAATTCTCATTACGATTTCGCATCCAAGGACTATTACACGGATGACCATTACGACGCACCTTATTTTGAAGATTATCGGTAATTGTCTACCGAGATTNTAGAGTATAATTGAGAAAACGTCTTGTACAATTCTGCACCGAGAATTTCCACGAAGACGACGTAAAATATAAGTTTTGAATATTTTTTACAATATCTACATATATTTCTTACCTTTACCTTTGTCTGACTACCAATACTTGTAGAGGTGCCTCTGAACGATATCTCTGTGTGTAAGTTCTGTAAATACCACCGTTACGAAATAATTTATTTCCAAAAAAAAAAGAAAACAAAAAGAAGAAGAAAGAAACACACTCTCGCAAAACACGACAAATTTTTTTGTATTATTTGTAAGTTTTAAAAGGTATTAAACAGAAATTCGAACGTAACAAGTGTTTTATATGGAACGACAAGCCGTCATGGTTTCGGCACAACGCGTTCCTGCCTGCGGTCTCCGTAGCTTCGGGATAATATCGAAGCGGTTCCGATTCATTGGTCGGCGAGCAAGAAGGTCGTGGCAGCGCGACGAACCTCCGATGCCCGCGGATCTTTCGATTAGCAGTGCACAGGATGCGTTTAGTTTTGTCGGCCTAGCAAGGACACCGGCTCCGGCATAAATACCGGGGGATCCCCTCGGCGGCGACCAGTCGAAAAAAATCGCTCGGGGCCCTAATCCACAAGGGACATGTCGCCGCTAATTCGGACCGTGGCGTTTCTGCCGTTGATAGCGCGGGTCCTTTGCGACTCCGGCGGCTCGATCATTCTCCACGGGGAGAATCGATCGGGCTCCTCGTTGAGGGACATCCTGCAGAAAAAAATCGACTCGACCCGAGTGATCCTCGACGACGAGAAAACGAGCAAAGGGGACAGCTACGGCCGCAACAGGGGCCAGCTAGGATTTAACGAGCGCAAGCAGGACGAGAGGAGATACGACGAGCAGGATAGCAAGCAGAAGGGCCACGACAAAGGAAGACACAGCCTAGGCGAGTCCGAAGCCATCGATCAGGGGAAGAATGCTTTTGAACGGCACGGGAGCGGATATTACAAAAAAGGACACCACAGGACCGGTTTCACCAACAACTACCATAAGGACGAGTCCGGCAATAACTCGAGCTTTTACGAGGACAGCGACGACGAGGGAGGCCATAGGTCGTCCGGGAACAACGGCGTTTATTATGGCCAGAAATCGCGGGACTCGTTTAGGGACGGGGCCCGTGACGCCTCTTACGCTGAAAGGGACCGGGCCCTGCAAGGACTCTATGACAATAAGCAGAAGTAGGTTTTGTATTATTTCTATGTTCTGATCAAACAGGCTAATATTTAAAAGAAACTTCAGCATTTTCTTTTAAATACAAATATGTCCCGATAGAAATTATTACATATATATTATTATATATTATTATATTTATATATAATAATATAATATATATATTATATTATATTATAATTTATATATATTATAATATATATATTATATAATATATGTAATATAATAATATATTGTATATATTATTATATTATTATTATTATATATATATATTCGATATATTAAAAGAAGCATTGCCGGTAGGCCATTAACGACTGTTCTTGTTCAGCTATCAGGATTATCGCGATCACACCGGAGGATACCAGAGGGATCGATTTCAAGACGACAGAAGAAACTATCTGCAAGACGAAGCGGGACGCTACTTCGATCGAAACGGGAACAAAGTTTACTATCGCAGAGAGAACTTGTATCCAGCTGCTCGTCGTTATAACAATTATTTGTCGCCGTTTGGGAATTCTCATTACGATTTCGCATCCAAGGACTATTACACGGATGACCATTACGACGCACCTTATTTTGAAGATTATCGGTAATTGTCTACCGAGATTAATTTCAAGAGAGAGGCGCGATCCGAATGAACAACGATTCGTTTGCTTGCAGATATGTTCCTCGAACGGATTATGAGCACAAAATATATCAGCCGTACAAAGGACCTTATCGTAGAAGTTTTCTAGACGATTTTTATAATAACCGACGCACGAACAAATACAGAGATGGTTTTGATAATGCATATTATAGATTTTAAAATATATTTATAAATTGTAGATACACGTGAAATAATTTCATGGAATAAAATTTGCCGTTATGCTTGTGACTTTCTTCGCTGTTCCGTTTTCTTTCTTTTGTATTATTGCACTATCGTGTAGACCAGGAAATCCACCGCGGCCATGAACAACGGATAGGTCAAAATGTCTGCAACTTTGTTATTTCTGTTATTAGTTGGCTTATCACCTTGTAGCAATTCATATCGTTTCCGTAATTTTCTTTGCGAGCACGAAGATCGTTTGGATTAAAAACGTGTATACCCTACTGTCAGTGGCCGGTTCCATATTTAGGGCGTTATCGTAGAACGTAAATTGAAGCATAGTTAAGTAAACGTTGAAAGCGTTCGCACAAATCCGTATAACCCAAAAATATTCCGGATCCACGTCGGTCGTATTGTTCATTCTGCTCGAAATCTGAAGTATCCATGTATTCTTGATAATACTGATTGAAAATCTTGAGGGGAAATGATTCTTCGTTGAATTTGGCGGTTAAGCAATTCTGCCGGGGATTTCAAATATTCAAATTTCAAAATTCATTTTCTGGATCACGGACCGCTTCGATCATAGTTGTCCGATTTTGAGAGATTTACAAGGTCTGCTAATTTTTTTTATACTGAAATAAAGAAGAGAAGGATCTGCTCTCGTGAATTTACATCGAAAAAGTGCAGAGTTGACTGCAAAACATTCGAAAAATGACTCTATCTCGTTAAAATTGTGATAGTGGAAAGATTGCAATAGTAATGCCACTTATGGAAAAAAATATGAAGCTCAAATCGGGGTCCAGCGCTAATTGATGTAGTGGCGAAACGATCAAATTGTTAGCAAAAATCGACCATCGGTAATTTCGCCAGCAGTTCGAGCATTCTGCCGCTATACTAATTGGCACCGTATGGACTTTCTTGAACGGTGACAATTTAAAAAAATTGTCAGAAAATCTTACAAAATATCTATTATTTCAGATAATATAATATAACTTTTCGAGATAATCAAACGAATTGAAACAAAAGTTAAGAGAATAATAAAAAAAAATGTAGACATAGTAACTTGTCTGTGACGATGCTTTATGGACACTTGCGGCTCAATTCTATTTTACCGATCGAAAAGATTGAAATGTGACTAGGCTCTGATGGATTTGGTAATTTCAGGCGTGTTTCACTACGCTACAAATTCCCTAACTAATCTACTCTGTGTTTACATTGTGTATTGCCAACTGCGAGAAGGTGTATGAAAGAATAAATTATTATTTAGAACAGTCAAAAGCATGAGTAGCGGCAGAAGAAAGCAGAAGAAAGAGAACTATGAGAGTATACACGTCGTTTAACATATTTTATAAAGTGTATTTTACTCATATGTGAAAGTCCATTCATCTGAAAATGTTGTGTCTTGAATGTTTATTCTTTTGTACTGTTATAATCGCAGTACTATGTGCAATTGCGGTACGTGTCTAGGTTATACTTGCCATCTGTTTATCGTTTCAGTTTCCATAAACGTGGCAATTCTATCGTTTAATACAAAAAACATTTTTACGGATTTAGCATTATTTATTTCAGTTTACAATTATTTTACACGTAATAACACAACCGTACCCGAAAATATGGCGCGACGACAAAGAGAAGTATTTCTTGAATCCAAAAACAGGGAAGATGGAAAATTTTCCTTTCTTCAATGACAATTGGAGCGTACAGCTGAGTGTTATAATACCTGCATACAATGAAGAGCAGAGATGTAAGTATGAATGTTTTCGAAATGATATCACAAAAAGACTGATATATTTTTATATTTTTATTACAGTGCCGCTGATGTTGGACGAATGTATGGAATATTTGGAGAATCATACAAAACTACAAACGTACGAAGTAATTATAGTTAGTGACGGGAGCACTGACAAGACAGTGGAAATAGCACACAAATATGCATTAAAATATGATAGCATTAGAGTATTGGAACTTATTAAAAATAGAGGCAAAGGTGGTGCAGTAAGATTGGTTAGTAACAATACATAAATTCTTTGTTCATGAACGCAGGTATTTTTACCAATTTTAATTCAAGGGTGTTCTGAGTGCAAGGGGCAGCGCAATTTTGTTTGCCGATGCAGATGGTGCCACCAAATTTAGCGATCTAGTTAAGCTAGACAATAGTCTAAGAACAGTATTAGGATGTAAGTTGTAAGCGGAACTGTATCCATAATTGTGCATTAGACTTGAGCATTGTCCAAGTAACATAATAAATGGAAGTTCCTTGGTTCATTGCAAATAAAACGTGTCCAAGTCTGTTACGCATTGCATAAGGTATTTATAATATGAAAATCATTGTTTTAGATGACTATATGGACAAGCCAGACGATGTCAGTTCATCCAATGCTGTAATATGTGGTTCCAGGGCTCATTTAGAAAAAGAAGAGACTGCCAAAAGAACGTTTTTCCGATTATTGTTAATGAACGGCTTTCATTTCCTAGTCTGGTTCTGGGGAGTGAGAGGTATTAGGGATACACAATGTGGCTTTAAGCTTCTAACGCGAAATTCTGCCGGACTTGTATTCCAAGCCTTGCACGTCGAGCGTTGGGCATTCGATGTAGAAATGTTGTATATTGCACAGTCCCTAAACATTCCTATTACCGAGATTCCTGTAAACTGGACTGAAATAGAAGGTTCCAAGATCGTACCATTTTGGAGTTGGTTACAGATGGGCAGAGATCTATTTTTTATTTGGTACAAGTACAAAATCGGTGCTTGGAAAATAAAGGGATCTAAACAGACTTAACTGCACACAAGACTATTAAAGAATTTATAAGAAACAATTTTTCTTTTTTGTAATATTTTTATTGTATAAAATGAAGATCTTTCAATTGTTTTTGTAATTATGGAATATTTTTCCTTTGTGGACGAAACACTTGCAAAAGTTTTATAAAATATGATCTCTTTTTCGTAAAATATTCCGAACGTAACAATATTTATGGTACAATCGGGAATTGACTATAATTCTACGTGAAAAAATAAAGTAAAAGTTTAGAATCGAATTTCATAATTCGTGTAAGTATTTGATGCTTACTGGTGCGTATAAGTAGTAATTGTGAACCATGAGCAGCCATATTGGTCGCGAATTTGAAACCCGTTTATCTTGAAAACTGAGTTCCCCTGATTATACCATGAATACTGGATACATTATCTGGACACCTATACATTATCTACTATTTTTATTATTCGTTTTTTATGTATATAAAATCCCTGTTATTTATAATTATTCTCGGCCATATCAGTTTTCAAATATTGTTGCTTTTTCAAATATTTCTAATTTATCGAATTATCAGAAATTTTGACAATAGTGACACCGGTATATACGGTGGATCTAGTAACTTTTGTGACCGTTATCAAAAGAAACTAGTCTAGTTATACGTGTATATATATATATATATGCAACTAGAAATAAGAAGAATTTAGTAACACGTCAGACTTTCAGAAACTCTGACGCATTTGTGACGTTGTTTATAACTTGCAAATTCTTTTCAAATTGGCTTGTTGCATCGTTGCTTCGTAAGCCAACCGTGAGATTATATTGATCTAACAAAAGTGACGTTGCGATTGTTATCGATTGAATATTTTGTAGTAGTAAACGTTCATTGAAAAATGTCTTTTGTGTCTCCTATGCCCAGTCGGGAATTTCTTTGGGATGTTTTCCAACGGTAATTATAGAAATACATAATTATGTTTAGTTATTCAATTTGGTTTATTGTTCGATGACTATTCTACGCGCCGTGTGTCGGTGTTTCTAAAGAACGGAAATTGTATGGCACACTTTAATGATTCACGTTACCGTTAATTACATATTAATTCATCATGATTAGACTGCAGAGTTTCCGCGTTGTTTTATCATAACAGAAAATCCATGGAGATTGATTACTTCCCAAATACATCGGGAGCATTAAAGTGATAAAAATATTATTTCTTATTTAAGGAATATTTTTACTTTATTTCGTGTAAGCTTAAATACTAAGATTTGGTGTAATCTAATCTTATGAATCAGTACGAAAATTCGATGGGTGTCCGAATATTTTTTAACAATTTGTTAATTAATTTAATTATATTTCTTAATTATTGAATTAAAGAGTGGACAAAGACAGATCCGGCGCGATCACTGCAGATGAATTGCAACAGGCACTTTCAAATGGTACATGGACACCATTCAATCCAGAAACTGTTCGTTTAATGATTGGTAAGTATCCGTTTATTATTTGCTTCTAAATGACCATGCGAATTAGCGTATCCCTTCAACATATACTCAACTGAAGTAATTAGTCATAGATTTATTGTAGTATTGTTGCACTTTACACAGACACAAGTATGCAATCTCATGATCAATTAGCATGGTCCTTTATTATCGCAAATATATTTTCAGTTCATTTTATTGATGCAGGTATGTTTGACATTGACAAAAATGATCCTGCTTCTCCAGGTATGTTCGATAAAAATCAAACAGGCACAGTCAGTTTCGAAGAGTTTGGAGCTCTATGGAAGTATGTAACAGATTGGCAGAACTGTTTCCGGTCATTTGACCGGGATAACAGTGGAAATATCGATCGTAATGAATTGAAAACAGCACTCATAAACTTTGGTTACCGATTATCAGATCACATTATAGATACTCTTATACGTAAATATGATAGGGGTGGTCATGGAACAATATACTTTGATGATTTCATTCAATGCTGTATAGTCTTATATGTAAGTATATGGCATGGGGTTTTTTAGAAATTCTGTATTTCTTTTTATGTAATAGAAAAATCTACATTTCCGGTTTGCATCTTTTTTTTTCAGACCTTGACTGCTGCTTTCAGACAACTGGATACAGATTTAGATGGCGTAATTACAATTCATTACGAACAGTTCTTGGGCATGGTATTCAATCTAAAAATATAAGGCACACTTCAGATGGAGTTTCTTTTGCCTAAGCTATATTATTTATAGCACAGAAATCACAGAAATCTTCTGATGCCAACACAAAGTTTACGATTCGTTTCACTCGCATATTCGATTATAAAAATTTAATGGGTCGTTATAAAGAATTAAAATAATATTTTCCGAACATTATGATATATTTGAAGAACATTCCTAATAATTGTATACATATGTAACTTACGCTTGACAGTACAATTATGTATGCCGGTTTATTGTTAATCACAGATGAGATTTAATGTATGTTGCCTAATGGTTCATTATAAGGTCAATGATGCAACAAATATTAAATGTTATTGAATCTAAGATTACAGTTATATTCAACGACAAGTTTCAATGTGGTGGCTAAACTATGCTCTGTAAAATACATTCTTGCATATGCGACATTCGGTAATTTAGTTCTTTTACTGTGTAACGAAAACGTGTCAATTATAAATATGTCAAAATTCCTATTAATCCTATTTAAGAATTATTCAGTGATCTAATAGATATCTATATCACCATACCATAGAACTCTTAGTTATTCTGAATAGGCTGTAAGACCAACGATACATTTGCAGACCTCAAGTTCAGCGATTGCGTTTTCTTGAAGTATACATATATACTAGATTTATTTATACACTAAATCTATATATCTATATTTCTGTACGTTTTTATTATCCGTTTATACTGCGTTTCCATTGTATTTTATGTGTATCTAAAAATATATATAAATCAAGATTCAATTCTCTGGAACCCATTTCCCGCGATGATTCGGTCTCTGCAGTATTCGTCTGTAATTATGTAAATTAGGGATAATCACGTAAATTTTACAAGCCCAGGAATACATTACCAAATTAATAACTAATTCATGTGCGCGTATCTTCGAAATTGATACTACACGATAACCTTAATGATTAAAGTTTAATGTACGCAATGTTACTTTCGTACTCTGTCCGTAAGATCATATTTCAAGGTCATTGAAATCGATGAAATGCCCATAAAGTTCATTCCTTTAAAAAATAAAAAATTTTTATAGAAAAAACATTGAAATATCGTTTTTTAGTTTGAATTCAAATTACTTTTGCTGCATTTGCCATTAGTGACAATGCAAATTATGATAATTAATTGCGATTACGAGATAATGACGCCGATATGGTGAATCCAGAAAGTTTCTTTTGACCTCTGTACAGCGACAATTAGTAAGTGTGTGATAAAGCGCTCAAACCCTTAGCCAAATTACCGACATTCGACTTTGGCTTACAGTTTCAGCGTTCTGCCACTTACTAATCAGCGCTATACGGAATCCTAAAAAAGCTTCTCGTTTTCACCGCAAATGGCGCAAGTGCTTCCTACGTACGGCGGTAAATTTGAATTGATTTGAACAGGAGAAGAGGAAAACGGTATCTGCTGGAAAACTTACTAGTTATTCTTAGACTTCGACGGTCCATTGTTTGTATTTTCGATTGTTTTATACGTACTATTTATTGTATTTTTTAATTTTAATTTGTTGTTATAGAGGCCAGGTTGTGCTGCCATCTAGAATGTAAACTTTCCCTATCAGAAGTGTATCTATGTTCCGTAAACTAATCGAAGTCCGGATTGTTGGGGTTCTGTATGTTCAAGATTCGAAAGTTTCGATACTAATTAGTTTTAAATATTAATTGTACAAAATGAGACTCACGTGTGCTTTACTCACAAGAATGAAGCATTGGTCAAAGGTGTATTCGAATTTACCGGACCGTTACATAGACCGCGTGACAGAACAGGTATGACGTTTTAATTGGTACTTGCTACAACTGTTTGTATAGTATATTTTATTTATAATTCAATCTGTGTTTAGATTTATTGGAAAACACCACGTGGAAAACCTCAGTACCTTCCACGGACGTTAAAACGTGAACGAATTCACTTTTCTGTTCATCGGCCATGGACACAACCTTTTCAGTACGAAAATCAGCCTAATAGTACACATCAATTTGTGCACGTTGAGCCCATAAAAAATTGGAGTTTCTTCCGCGGAGATCGTGTAAGTAACTTGATGTTACAGTATGTCTGGATAAGAGCATCTGGAATGTTTAATAAAAAGATACTGACAGCGTTATTCAGTGTACCGAAACGTGTCATGTGCCTAGGTGGAAATATTAGTTGGTCCTGACAAAGGAAAACAAGGTTTTGTGAAAGATATTTACCAGGAGAGGAATTGGATTATCGTAGCAGGATTGAATACAAAATTGGAATGTGTAGGTAAAACTAAAGACTACCCTGGATATTTTGTTCAAGTGGAAAAGCCTCTATTGGTTACAACTCAAGTTTCATTGGTCGACCCTTCCGATCTGTAAGTATCTTATGGATATGAAACAGCGCTGCCACTGCCTGGATATTCGAGTAATCCGAATATGCACCAGGACATTAACATCGAGCTTGTACACATGAGTACTCGTATGTCCGGTCTTGAATCTCGATATTTAAATGTTTGAATTTAAATTTGAATCTGATTACTCGAGTATCAGGACTTGAAATTGAGTACCCGAGTGTCTATACAGTATTGCGTAACATTGTAAGCCTTGGTACGAACTGTGAATGCACTTACGTGCATTTGTTTATTTTAGAAAATCTACACCTATCGAATGGAGGTACACGGAAGAAGGTGAGCACGTCCGAGTCTCCGCCAGAACCGGCAGGATTATTCCTATTCCAGAAGGGAGCAAGGAAACTATAGATTATAAGAATCCTGAAGCGTACATAGATAATCCCAAGGATACATTGGTGGAAGATTTAATGGAAGTAACATTCGATGTACGTAAATAACGTTTCCGGATAACTCTGTATCATTATTCCCGTGAAAAGTTCGTCGTCTGAATGTATTCTCGACTTGATTTAGGCTCCTCTGAAAACATTCGAGATGGACATCATGGACAAAATGGGTATCAAAGAGGACCGTGTGCCAAAGAAATATTATTGGTATTAATGTACAAAAACGTAATATCAAACGAACGAATAGAATTAGGTATGTGAATTTTGTTTTCAAAACACTGTGTTTCTTTATTATTCCGTTATCCTTGAAAAAATCCTTGCGCCGGAACGGTCGCTGGCATTTGATAAAGGAGAGAAGAACGGGAATCGTAACAATGAAGCGTGTGCAATTCGATCGCATCGTTTATTATTGACAAAAGTTACATTGCGGCGTTTCCTATTCATGAATCTTGTATAGAAAATATGTACGAGGGTGTTGAGGGGAGACGGAAAAGCATAAGTAACGTTAAAGAATCAAGCGATTAATCAAATATCTCGTAAACATTTGTTAGGCTAAAATAATATTGTTATTGCGAGTGGTCTTTTGCTCTCGTTAACGTTTGTTAGTTTTAATATTAACACACATACATATCACAGCACGATTTTTAACAAACGCAAATCTAGAAACGAATGTCAGTCTACAATTAAATAATCCAGTAAACGTAAACGCGTTATATTAACATCTGTCGCCCTCCGGCGGTTCCCTTTTTTTTTCTCTATTAATAGTACGACAGTTTTTCTAGACACCCGAAGTGTTGCATCTCGAATTCTTGCGCATAGTTCATCCTATTTACAAATTCCTTCTTTTCGTTCGCGTCCTGGCAAATTCGCGTTCCACGAGATTGCGAGGACAAAAGCGTCTCTCTCTCTCTCTCTCTCTCTCTCTCTCTCTCTCTTCCTTTCCGGCCTCGTTACTATCTAGGTACATACTAGCTAATTAGGAAAAGCGTTCCTTCATTTCTATGGATCCGTGTTCGAAACAACGGTAACACGTATAATTTATAGTTCGACGAAAACAAAAAGAACAGGACAAAGAAAAGGTCTCCCTGAAGAACGGAGGTATCCAAACAATTACGCAACAATAATACCTCGTTAGAGTAAGCACGATACGGGCAATCCTAAGTAACGCTCCAACAAAATGCATTCGTTATCCTTTAAGACCGAAACAGGATTTCGAACAAAGGACACGCCGGTGATACGATCGCGCGCATCGCATCCCCTTCGATTCCTCGAGTTTGAGGACTTCTTCGTCTCGCTTCGACATCGTTGGCACGGCGATCGCGAAAGATCTCCCGGCAACGCTCGAAGTCTTCTCTCGGTCGCGTTCCTCGCACGACGCCTCCCCTTCTAATTGACTATCATTCACGACGATTTGGTGGCAGGATGCCTGACTAGGAGGTTCACTTCGCCGTCGTGTAGTTTCTTCATCAGAGACCACGCCTCGATCCTCGACATTCGCGTCACATCGTTCCCATTCACTTCCAACAATTGGTCCCCTGCCTTCAAGGCACCTGTCTTCTCGGCAGCACCTCCTGCAACGCGATTATTATCATCGTTATTACGCGGCTCGATAAGGCGCGACCATCGTCGCCGGGAAGCGTTCTGCCAGAACGTGTCGCGACTTTGAAAAGTGTACGGCGACAGAGAGCTCTTTTTACGCTAAATCTACCGAGCATAAATTCGTTCAGACATCTTGTTATTTTTATTATAATGTATGTGTCCTACCGAAGACACCTTACAATTTCAACAATTTTGAAAGAAAAAATGTGGAATCGGCTATTCTGACAGGTAGATTCGGCGTCGAATCAGAGCTCTAGGGTCTCACCGGTAAATATCTTCTTGATCACCAGCGGCCTGTCCCCGAGGGGGCTGTCCCTGCCACCCTCCAGGCTGAATCCCAACCCAGCCCCGTCCTTGTACACTGCTACCACCGAGGGCGGTCCCCAAGCAGTATCATCTGCGACACCGTTCACCTCGAATCCTTAAAGAGAGAACATAATAATTAATTTTAAGATAATTTTTAAGATAATAATTTTCAGTTTTAGTTTCAGAGCCTCTCATCGAAGATCCGTGCACAATGATTTCAAACACAGAACCCTAAGAAGCAATTAATCTTTTAGGTACTGCTGAATTCTGTGCGCGAGGCTATTTCACTGGACGGCAGAGTCTGATATGTACTGTACAGAGTCTGATACTGTATATACAGGGTGTCCCAAAAATGTCTCGCAATCCGAAAGTGGCGGGTTCCTCGGGTCATTTGGAGCAACTTTTTCCTTTACAAAACTGTTCTCCGAGGCACCGTTAACGAGTTATTAACGAAAAACAGTGACCAATAAGAGATCGCGCACGGCTGACGTTCCGCCCTCGCGACCAATGTCGCTGCGTCGGACGGCCGGCGCGACGCGGCATTGGCCGCAAGGGCGGAGCGCCGGACGCACTGGTTCTCCGATTAGTCACTGTTTTTTGTTAATAACTCGTGAACGACGCTTTGCAGAGAATTTTCGTAAAGGAGAAAGTTACATGAAATGATCTCAGGAATCACTCCCTTCCAGGAGAGCAGCTGACGCGTGGCAGTCAAGCCAATGAACGGAACTGGGCTTCGCGCGCTGGTTGGATAGGCCACCTTGCGTCAGCCGTACTCGATTCTTATTGGTCACTGTTTTTCGTTAATAACTCGTTAACGGTGCCTCGGAGAACATTTTTGTAAAGGAAGAAGTTGCTTCGAATGATCCGAGGAACCCGCCATTTCCGGATTGCGAGACATTT